AATCTCAATTCTAAAATGTGCAAATAGGTGTGAAACTATAGATGCCCCAAGTTCATACAGAAGCTCCTAATGGGAAACAGAAAGTATTAATACGCAAGACAAGGCTTAAAGGAAAACCCCAATATGTCTGTGCAAAAATACAATGAACCCCAAAGTTCTCTCTTGCCTCTCTTTTCAGGCTCCACCTAACCAAATCTTTAGGATGGATGGCACCAACTCATAGGGATAGATTTTTTTGACGTGATAACCAACTTATAGGGATATATGAAGCCTTCTTTATTTCTTATTTGGTGGACATCCCTCCAAAGACAAAGCAAAGTGTCTTCTGTCGACCATTATAAGCACATTCTTTAGGACTTTTTGGAGTGAAAGGAACAAGAAAAAAGATGGAGGGAGGAATAAAAAAAAGGCTTCCCCTCTTAATTATTGGATGGGATACTTTTGGTGGTTGTCATTTGGTGCAAGCTTATAACTTATATCCGTGATTACAGTTTAATCACTCTCTGTTCAGAAATTTCCTTTGGACTGGAGTCTCTCTTCCCCCTTTTTTCTTTGTAATTTCATCTTACCAATGAAATTCTTTCTTTTTATTCAATTATCTTATCAGAAAATAAAATCGAAAAACTGTTTTGTAAAATATAGTTCATTGTGATGGTCTATTGATCAAGTTCACTTCTCGACATGGATACATTTACACTATCCTACTTCATGGATTAGTTTTCTCCTAGCAAGATGTGGAGATGGCTTTGCAATATCGTATGTAGGATTGAGATGAAATACAAAATGATAACCTTCATGATGTGCACAAGGCCTAAAAAAACTATCTCGGTAACATATTCCAATGTAAACAATGCTTCATCAATGCCAAGATTACTTTTGTCTTACAGAGCCTTAAGTATTTTACGATTGTCCTCCTTCCTTTTTGATGCAAATAAGATAGCCTTTCCATAAGCTTGGCATTAATGAAACATTGTTTACATTGAATAATCTTGGAAGTCTTCCATTCCCTTTATGTTATTACTAATTGGAGGGAGCTGTTTCTTACTAGCCTAATACTAATAAGATTTATAATAATAATTAACCTAGGAAAATGCTTTCCAATCCCCTAGGAGAACTAAGTAACAAAGAATGTAAGAATGCAATCCTTTGTTTTCCCAATTCATGATTTCTTTTGGTTCTTACATACACCAAAGTATAGGCACACCACACATGAACATTTGTTATCCATCTTCCACCTGACCTTATAGACACTTGTGTTGAGGTGAGATTACCAAACTCATGGCAGGATCTTTAACCTTCCTATACTTTCTACTACACTAGTTCATTCGTGATTCAATTGAAACCCCTTGAACTCATTCAAAAAACGGCTAGCCACAAATAGACACAGAATCATGTTTAATCAAAGCTATTACAAACAACAAATTGATGCATGGCTTCTTCAAATTTTTCTCCTTCCAGTTTAGAAAATTAAGATGAAAGCAAATGCATAACAACATTACTGTAAATAAAATACCCACTATCTGGTCCACCAAGTTGTGTGATAGCATCCACAAAACGATCATGAAGATCTGATGTCCATCGCAACCGTTGTTTTCCACCTCCTCCAGGTGGCATTGGACTTTTTGCTGTAGATCCACCCAGAACCGCAACACTAGCACTTTGTTCAGCACCTTGAGATTTATGTGGAACTAAACTAGCAGTTGAAAACTTCTTTGCATGATACATGATGAGGAGACTACAACTTGGAGAAACTTTCTACAAAAAAAATTGTAATCTGTCAGCAGCTTAATAGAAATGAAAACTGCCTGGGATATGACTGGCCAGCTTATCAACACTCCAACAGCAAATAAACCAACCCAACCTATCTCTAAAACTTACCTTACCACAAAATTATTACTCTACGTCTGTTAATACAAAACAAGTTCATTTAATACTCTATCCCAGAAAATCAGTCAAGAAAGGAGTCATAAATAATGCTCGAAATCACATAGCAACAAAAAAAATTCAGCCATATAAGATGCAGTTCCCGCTATACTGCTTCAAGATGCTTCGACAAATTCGTCTTCCAGCTTCTACGGAAGAGCATATAATTGAAGTAAACCATAGTATGTAACTACATAAAATTTCCAAATAAACTCAGCTTTAATTAGCTATTCAAAGTCAAAGAACTAGGTTTCAGTTTCACCTGGAAGGGACTCAGAGCTCCGACGAAGGCCGGTCAATTAGCTTCAGAGCCATCATCTCGAAGTCAGCAGGAACACAACAAAATCCCCAATTTCAAGGGGGAGCAAACGATCGAGTGGGGGGCGGCGGCGGTGGTGGTGGTGGTGGGGCACGGCGGCAGCGCGGTTCTCCGGGAAGCAAAATGGAATTGGGTTTTGTCTTTTTAGGGTTTGAGAAAGGAAGAGAAAGGGGTAAGAAATTCTGGTTTTGGCAAGATGGCTCGTCAGACAGAACCAGACTAAACGAAGCTCTTTCTCTCTCTTCTTTCTCTCTCTGTGGTTTTTTTTTTCTTTTTTCCTTTAATTAAATACGAAAAAATTAAAAAACAAAGGAATTAATAATAATAAGAGACGGAGTTTTAATTGTGCAGAGACCAGAGGATAGCGTGAAAAGGACGGCGATATTTATATGGACTTTCGGGTCACCATGTGGGTCCCATCGCAACCCGACCCGAATGTTGGAAAAATCTTTTTTCCATTCCCTACTTTGTTATTACGTTACAACTAAGAGTCAATATTTGAATAGTTTAAATTTTTTCCTACAAACGTGGGATGAAAAATTGAACTTTGTTATCATAATAGTTTTGCTATGTTCATGTTAATTTAATGATCAATATAGTATTTTAACATTTCTTTTTTAGTTCAACATCATATAGGAGTAGAAATTTGAATATACGATCTTTTGATCGATGATACATGTCTTAACGAGTTGGGTTATATCATGTCGGTGTATTTAAACCTATTTGAATCTAGTATATGTTCAAGTTGTCAAGATAAACATAACTTAGTGATTAGGACATCACTACTTTCTTATAATTCATAGGTTCAAATATTCATTTCTGCATTTATGACGTGATATATTCTAAAAAAAATTATGTTCATGTGATAACTCTCCAATTATTTTAGAGGGAAAAAATATTTTGGGTATATAAAAATGTTCACAAGGTAGCTCCAAGCCTCCGATCACCAATGTTTTAGGGCTAGTATATATGTAAAAGTTTAGAGTGAGCCTACATTTCTAGTTAATGTTGTGACTTTTGTGAATTATTTCTAACCTTGAAATGCTTTGAGGCAACTTGTTGATGTTGGAGTATCGGATAATTCTAGAAAAAGTGAACTGACAGTGATAGCTTTTACCCGATAAATTACTATAGTAAAATGAAAAGTTTATATTGTTGCCTTAAAGTTGAGGAGGCGTATAAAAGCTTCAAATGTAGATTGCCTCTAGGATTATTCATCACTCCCTACGAAGAACAAGACAATAAAGAATGGAAGATTCTTACATTTTGTCGAGGAAAAACCAAAAGAAGACAAAAAAAGAAGCTGATACAGTGAAAGGTTGTTGTCCTTTTTAATTTTCCCCTTCACTCGTATTATTTAGTTCATGGGTTTTGTATTTCCTTATTCCATTTTCTTCGTTATGGAGTTAAATAGCTAAATACATTGAGGGGGTTGTGGACCTTTGATTGTTAATGTTGATTTTATGGTTTATAAAGTTGTTTCTATCTAATTAAAGCTTGTTTTGCATTTTTAAGTTCAATGTGCGATCACCATGTTGAATGAACTTTTTATTAGCTTTTGGGAGATTGTAATTAATAGGGTGTGGACGACTTTAAATTGTATTAATCTATCTTTGAGAATAGAGTGTGGGTACTTTAAGGATAAGACTCACCTAATATAGATAAAAACTATTATGATATATTGTTGGTTCAAATGGGCTTTGGATTAGCGTCAAAATTTTGGCAATGGAAAGATGTCGCGTTTGTTTGGTGACTAGTTTTACAACCTTGTTGTTACAGCATCAATTAGTGAATCCTCTTTTTCTTTACATTTGAGTACTCTCCATTTTCACTTCTTCTTTCTTCTGTTTGTGCTGAGGGTTTGATACTTTTAAATCTATTTTATTCATGTTTTAATGCAATTTTATCTTATTTTCAAAGTAGCGATAATCCAAAATATCTTTTGTTTGTTTTTTCCGTTTATCGAGTGAAAGTTGAAATGTTTAGTTACTCAATCCCTGTGGATTCGATTTTTTAATTATTTACTATGCGAGTTGTCTATACTTTCATAAGAGTCGTTAAAATCGTTAACATCAAGTTTGGCTTTGACCGAAGACAAAAAAATTTTGCATATCATACTGCTCAAATTTATTAAATTGTTTATTTTTTACAACGGTTAAAAAATTTAGCATATGAAGCTGCTTAAACTTATCAAATCTATGGCCGCCTACTTAGAAATCAATTTCTATGTGTTTTTTTGGTAATCAAATATAGTAAAGTTGGGTGATTTTTCTATGAGATAGTCGATGTGTGCGCAAGCCAACTCGAACACTCATAGATGTTAAAAAAACATTTTTTACATCGATATTTATTTAAAATTGGAATTTGAAATAGTAGTCAATATGAGCAAAAATTAATATGAAAATATCAATATTCCAAGTGTTTAAACAGCACGTCAAAACAAACATAACTCAGCAGTAAGTTGTATATATTTCCAACTAAGAAGGTGTGAGTTCGATCCTCACCCCATACTAAAAAAACCGCTCACACCCTAATCTTTTAATACAACGAATGAGAATGGGGATTCAATAATCAGATGTCAATTACATCGAGATAAATTCAAATTAGCCATCCCACCCCGATTTATCGTACATAGAAAAATAAATTACATATCCCGCATACTACCAAAAAAAAAAAATAGTTTTTTTTTTTTGTATGCCTTAAATAGATACATTTATTTTCCTGACCCGACTCCATGATTGGATGGGGGTGGAAAGTGGCGGGACCCACTCCTGGTTTCTCAACGATGAATTTGAGGTGGGGAGGACCGGTCGTCGAATAAAACTGAACTCTCTCGTGGGTTTTTACGTACTTTTACCTGAACCTTGTACTACTTCGTTTCCTTTTTCTCCATATTGTATAAATTAATTAAATACCATTCTATAAATATGACAGAGTATACTTTTCAAAATAAAATAAAAGAATATATATATATATATATATATGACAAAGTATACTTTTGGTTTGAGTTTGAAGTTTTTTTTTCCCCTTTTTTCCTGCCTCTTTTTGTAATAAAGAGTTTAAAGTTAATGTTATAAAATCTTGAAAGATATATTTTTAGTAGTAGTTAATAAGAAAAGAAAAAGATTCATGTTAACGGGTCAAGACGAAAATATTTCTTTAAATGTAACTATTTTCACCATAAACTTTAATCTTCATCAGAACATTATGTTCGATACGAGACATTGAAGTCATTTGAGTTTCAACGTAGTTGTTTAATGATTGGTTTTATACCTTGATTAAACATTGTTTATATAATGCTTAGTTTTCTAAATATTCAATGGATAGTTGTGTTAAATTAAATATACAAATGGCAATACTCATCTAAACAACAAAATTGATGAGATTTAAAGTGGTGAAATTTAAGACCCTTTGTGGTGAAAAAAAAAATTATTTCCTTTTCCCATTTTAAGAGACTAGTGTTTTCTTAGACTCTTGCACGTAAGACTTTTTAATTTAATATTATACTAACATCGGTAAAAAAATGAAAAAATCATTATTTATTAAAAAAAAAGATATGGCAAAAAAATGCTTCTATAAATTATATTAATTTAACTCAAGTTTAATGGTAAAATAATTGTTTGAGAGTATTAATTTTTTTACGTTGTACTACAAAAAATGGTGAAACTTTAGAAAGTATAAAAGTTATAACATTTTTTAAAATTTATCAATTAAAATTTTATAATTATTTATAATTAAAAATGAAATAGAAAAATTTTTCCATTCAATCTTTTTAAATTACATATATTAATCAACTTAATGAAACATTTAAATGTTCATTTATTCAAAGTTAATTTTTCAACAATTATATTTTAAGTGATTGAATTTGTAGTCTCTCGTTCCATTTTGAACTTATCAACTTTTTTAGAAAATAGATACTCATAATATTTTACATTTTAAAGTTAATTGTACTTATTTATTCGTATTATATTCATTTGAGTATTTAATTAATAATTATAGTATATTGTTATAATTTAAAAGTTATTTTTAGTCTTTTTAATTTATTATATTAATTTTAATGAGTTATAATTAGTTTATCATGAATGAGAGAAATATCTTTAGAAAATAAATTAAATAATTATGAACTCATTATTAATAATATCTTAAATTAGATTAAAATTTTGTTGTATATTTTAAATAAACTAATTCTATAAAAATTAAAGATTATTTTTTAACTAATTTTTTACTAAAAATCATGTTATTAAAAAAACTCAAGAAACAAGAAATGATTAGTGGGAGAGAGAATTATTCAGAATCATATTACACAAATAAATTATAAAAATAAAAAATATAGTAATAAACATTTTATAGAAAACATTGATATTTCAAAATAATATATAAGATTGTCCWCCTCCCTTCCATATTTGAGATCAAACCATTTTGTAGGATTCAATGATGTTTAATTGTAGGACAATACTACTTTATCACTGTTACAAATCGAAATTCTCAATGTGATAGACCATTGTGCAATATGACACTACTTTGTTACTCTTACAAATCGAAATTCTCAATAGGATAGACCATTTGGATTACGATACTACTTTTTTTTTTTCTTTAGACAAAAGAAAAAATAAGGATAAACATAAGAAAGAGGAAAAAACTCATATTGCACAAGGGAAGCAATATCCTTTGACCAATCTTCAAGTGAGACACGATCATCTTCGTTCTTTAATGCTAATAGAGCCAAAACATATGTCACTTTATTTCTATCTCTTTTTGTAAAGTTGCACATCAACCCGAGAGTGTGCAATATCAATACACACTACTAAAGCTATACAATTCATAAAAAATCAAGAAAGGAAAAATAAGTAAACTAAGAAAGAGTCAGAGTGAAACTCTATATATATATAGGAGATATATAAGTTGGAAACTTTTGAGGTTCCAACATTCTATTATTAATTTCAATAAAATATAAAATCATAAATTATTAGATATAAAAAATCAAACTTTTCATATTCAAGCTCTTCATATTCATAACTTCTACGTTATTATTTATTAAAGTTATTAAAAACAAAAAATGGCATGTTTAGTAAATTTTAAAATTGATAAAAGGACATAGTGGTCCAAAAATAATTTTTTCGAAAGAGTAGCATTTTAATATACTAGTGTGCTACCACGTGCGTTGCACGAAGTATTTTTAACTTAATTAATTTTATAAAAAAATCACTAAACATATATACATTGTTAATTTTCTATTAAATATTTGGCTCACTATTTTGTCTGTTTTTAATTTCAAGTTTTCTACCTTTTTATAGTGGTAGAGAATAAAAAGTTACAAAAGCTTTTGAAATTCTTGAAACTCTCCAAATTCTAGTATGAATTACAATTAAAGAAAAAATAAAGGAAAACTTTTTGCATTCTAACTTTGTAAATCCTATACATTTATTAGTATTGATAATTAAATAAAAAAATTAATTTTATGTTGTAGGAAAAATTTTAGCATTCTAACCTTTTAAATTCTATAAATTTATTAGTATTAATAATTAATAATTAATTTAATATTTATAATAATGTATTTTAGTTGCATAATTTGTAAATTAGTAAATTTAGTAAGGGACAAAAGTGTCCAAAAATATTTTTCCTACCTTCTCCCTTTTTAATATAGTATAGATATTATTATAGATTATAGATTGTATGCTTCCCCTCTAGTGTTCAACCAATCCAACAACTAATGTTATGTGTGAAAACTTATATATGGTTTAGTCCATTTAGGTGGTTAGAAAAAAGTATATATTGTCATCATCATAAACTATGAAAGTTAGACTTTGACTGAAATATTAAACTTGTATTTTACCCGTAAGTGAAATTTGCTATAACTCACGTACAATAGTCAAATTCAAACTTAATATAGTGTAAAAGATATACTTATTACTACTTCGAAAGTTGAGAGTTCGATCTCCATATATTACTTATTTATTGAACTAAAAAAATGTCAGTAAATATTTTATTTTCAATTTAACAAACGAGGTGGAGATTTTTTAACCTCCAATTAAGAAAGTGTCGGTCATAACCATGTAGAGCCCTCGTTCAAGTTGAGGATTAAAATAGTTTCCTAAAATGTTTGGTGGCATGTGCAATGAGATAATCAAGATGGTTCAACCCGACTACAACCAAACAAGAGTAGGTATTTTATTGTTTCGTTCATTTAATTTCTTGAGGTATTGGCATGAATAGCGTAAAAATAAATATGTATTTCAAGTACAACATTAATCGGAAGTTTTACAAAAATACAATCTAAATTGAATTCCTAAAAATGTAAAACTTGCGTGACTATATTAATAAAAAAAAAGTGACATACAATATGAAATGAAATTTCTCTATATATATTGTTAATGAAATAAATTAAGCACTAAACTATTTAACTATTATGTATACTTTTTTGCAAAATATAAGAAACTTCTTCCATCCATGTGGCATATGTGTCTTCCTCCATGGCCAATCTTAGTAGCTCATGGCGATGATATTCCGTGATCTTCCACGAAAGAAAGAACTAAGTATTAAAAAAAGAAAGAAAGAAAGAAAGAAAGAAACTATCATATGTTCAAAAGATTGAAGTAATCCAACTTAAACCGTAAGAGTTGTTAGGTAAATAATCGATTTGGATTGGGTTAAAAAAATATAAGAACTGACGAGTTCAATCGCTTTCTATTTGTTATATGTCGTAGAGTTAAAATCCAAAAATTCTTGTTGCTATGAGTGTTAAAAAAATCGACAATTTGAAGAACCCAAATAATCCAACCCAAATAGCCCAAACTGTTGCTATTTGGGTTAGATAAAGGTTCAGTTTGGATTGAGTTGTTATCATTTCCAAACAAAACAGGTCGATTTGGTTCACGGGTCGAGTATAAAAAAGTTTGACCCGACTCAAAACATTCGAACAAAATAAAAAATATATAGATTTTTTATAATACAGTAGGTGTTTGGGAAAAGAGTGAAGTTATTAAACCTGTTTAATATTAGGAGTAAATTGAAGAATTAAGTAGTTCGTAGTTATTTAGTCTGTGTTTGAGCCAATGAGTTATTAAGCTTAGAATTGTGTCTGTTGTTGTATTATACCACTAGAACTAGATTCCAATAGTTTTTTTTTTCTTAATTCATAAAAATCGAACCATGAAATAAAAATATTATTTAAGCATAATAATTAAAAACAAAAATAGAAGTACAAAGCCTGAAACAATTTTCACAAAAATTCCAATAACCAAAATCGAATAATCTGTACAACCTCTAAGCTATGGGGAAATTGGGATTTCTAATCCCATTATATAACTCATCTAGATTTTTGACCTCTTTTTAAAAAAACATAATTTGTGATCTCTACTGTTCTAATTTGTGACCCCTTTTCACTTTTTGTCTTTGTAAAATTACCAAAATATCCTTGTTTATTTTAAGTAAAATTACCCACCAATCTCTTCTCTCAACTCTTAGCATTTTTTTTTAATTTTGAATATAATATAGATTAATTTATTACTTAACAAACGAATCCACACAAAAAAAAATCTGTAGATTAAATTATCCAATAATTAAATTAGGGTGAAAAAAAATTGCATGATCCAAGAATAAATGCATAAGATTTTTCCGGAATTAATTACAAAAAAAAATTAAGGTTTCATAAATGTCGTGCCAAAATTGCCCGAGATTTAATTGACAATAATGGTTAAAAGAAACTGGAATTAAGAGGGAGTGAATGCAAGAAAAAAAAATTGGAATTGAGATCCCGGACTGGGATTGGAGGATCCCGGTCCGGGTTAGAAGGATCCCGGTCCGAGATTGAACCATCCCGGACC